AACAAACAGGTTTGTCCTAGAGAAGGTGAAGCTGGAATGCTCCTTGGAGTCAAGGATTCTGAAGCTTCGTCTGACATACTTTGGGCATGTTGCAAGGAGGGACTGGTCCTTGGAAAGGGACATCATGTTTGGCAGAGTAGAGGGGTGGCGAAGGAGAGGAAGACCTTTGGTGAGATGGATCGATTCTGTGACTGGAGTGGTGGGAATAAGTGCGTTTGAGATGGCGAGGTTGGCACAGGATAGAACAGCGTTTAGAGCTCTTGCACATAGGGTCGCTATGAGTCGCAAACAACTCGATGGCACATAACAACAACTCTTCGTAAGATAGATACCATATTCCATTGATACTTCGCTCGACTTTATACTTTTGAGCTGTTATTTTTTAAAAGGGAGTTTTTTAAATAAAAAAGGAACACCTTTCCTATAGACCGGTTAATGCAAAAAAGGTAGATATTTAATGGTCTGATAGCATATTATATGGTCTTTAAAAAATAAGAAACACACACACACACACACACACACACACAAAATAAGAAACACACAGGGGGCAGGGGGTGGGCAGGGAGAAAAGTGAAACTATGAATGACTGGAAACCCTAAGTCTCTGTAAACTTTCATTCCAATTAAAAAGAAAAGGTAACACACCATAACTGTCATCCAAGCAGATACATGCACACCCATGTTTATTGCGGCTTTGTTCACAATAGCAAAGAGCTGGAAACAATCCAAGTGCCCATCAACAAACGAATGGATAGAGAAGCTCTGGTATATTCACACAATGGAATACGATGCTACATGGAAAAACAAGGAACTCATGAACTATTATACAAAATGGGTAATCCTGGAGGACATTATGCTAAGTGAAATATCTCAGTCACAAAAGGATAAATATTGCACAGTGCCACTGTTGTAGAACAGGACTGACATCAGGGTTGGGGTGAGACTGAGAACGATTGGATAAATTATGTAGACTGCACTGAAACAGATGAGGGAGAGAACTGTTTAAAAGCGATATATGATTGAGTATTACAGTCATGACAAGAGTCCAGAATGAAGGCTGCATAGTGGAGTATACTTGGCGGGGGGTAGGGGGAGAATTGTACACCAATGAAAGAATTTTTCTTTTACTTTTCAAAGAGAAGAGTCAGTTGCGGGGAGGGGTAGGCAGGGAGAAAAATGCAACAGTGAATGAATGGAAATCTAAAGTCTCTGTAAATGTTCATTAAGATTAATTTAAAAAAAAAAAGAAACACAAATAAACAAACTTTCTCTTAACTGAAGTCACTGCTTTCTACATATAATTTAGTATGACGAAAGTGTAAAAAAACCTCAATTCCAAAAATGGTCAAATGGCCAAAATGGGAGACCAAAACACCTACAGTCTATTGGTTGCTGAGAGTTGTGGTCAACTTGACAGCATCTAACAAAGTGGAGTACTTTATCATAAGAAATGGCATCATCACTGAAAAAACCCAAACACCAACATACCAATCAGTCTGTTTAACATAGAATATATAGTTAAAAACAATTGGATCTACTAGTAGAGGAGGAAAACATGCTCACACCAAATCAAAGTCAGCACTAGATTGCTGTTGTTGCTACGTGCTGTCGTCTACTATGACTCATAGTGACCTTAAAACAACAGCTCTGAACTCTGCCCTATCTTGAGCCAACCTCACCATCTCTGACGCATGTGATCTCACTGTCAAAGCCAAGGTGTCAATCTATCTCCTCCTCTATCTTCAATCTATCTCTCTTCTGTACTGATACTCTACCCTTTCAAGCATAATGTCAAAAGTATGTGAGATGGAGTTTCGAAATCCTTGCCATCAATGAGCAAACTCGTTTCAGCCAGTCCAGGACAGACTTGTTTCTCTAGAAGGTCCATGCTATGTTCAATAATATTCTCCAGCCCCACAACTCACAGGCATCAATTCTTCTGCTATTAACTTGAGTCACTGTCCAGCTCTCAGATATCAAGCAACTGAGAAGACCCCACTCTGGATCAGGTGTACCTTAGGCTTCTGACTGACATCATTGCTCTTCAGTACTCTGGAGAGGTCCCTGACAGCAGATTTTTCCTAAAGTAATTACTCTTTTGATTTCCTGACTGCTGTATCTAAGTAAGATGAAATTGTTAACCTCAATCTTTTCTCTATTCATCATGATGCTGCCAACTGGCCGGGTAATGAGAATCTTTGTTTTCTTGACGCTGAGCTTCAATTCATATTGGAGACTTAAGTCTCTGACCTTCTGCAGCAACTGCTTCAAGTCCTCCTCAGTTTTGGCAAGCAATGTTGTGAAATCTGTATAATGCTGGTTCTTAATGAGTCTCCAATCCTGATCCACATTCTTCTTCATAAAGTCCAGCCTCCCAAAATGATCTTTTCTGCATAAAGACTGAAAAGGTATGGAAGCATGGAGAAAGGATACATCCCTGAAGCACTCCTTTCTAGATTCTGAATCATGCAGTTTCCTTGCTCCACTCTTATGACAGCTTCCTGGTCTAGGCAGAGGTTTTGCATGGGCACTATCAAGTGTTCTGGGATTCCCATTCTTTTTAATGTTAGCCACAAAGTACTACTGAAAATCAGCAATTCAAATACTGAAATCCTACCATCTCCCAAAACCTATGACTATAAAAAGGAAAAGCGATAGTATGATTTTTTAAAAATTATCTTACACTGAAATAAGTGAAGGTACAAGCTGACTCCTTAGACCAACCAACCATACAAAACCGAAACGGGGTGCACCTGCCCCAGGACAAAGCTCAGAGGCAGAGAGAGGAAAGGATAAAGAGAAACAGGAAAAACAGGGAAGAAGTTATTACACCATGCAGACTGAAACCAATGTCATGAAACAAGGTATATGTAACTGTTGAATGGAAAACTAATCACAATAAAAATTAGGGGGGAAAACCCCCAAGACCACCACCACAAATAAAAGTCACTTTGAGGAGTTAGAAGGAGCCAATTCTGACTCAACAGCAGTGGGTCTGAATTTCCTCTATTAAAATGTTAAGTTTCACAACAGCAGTGATTTTCTTTTTCTTTAATTGTTGTACCTTCCTAACTTAAGAGGAAGAAAACCAAGGCCACAGACTGGAGGAGAGGCATCTTGTGGCAGCGGGCTGCTCTAGAGGGCCTTCCCACTGGAGGGATAGATGTCCTCACTTAGCAGGTTCCAAAGGCATGCCCTGACCCTGTCTACCTCCCTCCAGACTTAGCTTAGCCTGATGTCTTCCTGTTTGCGTCTACCCAGCTACACATGGGTCACCTTGATTCCACAATCCACCAAGACTGTCCCACCTGACAGTCTTTGTTGTCCCTCTTTAGGTCTGCTTGAACATCGCCGCTTCTTCACTGTGGTCTCTCCTGACACCCAAGCCCCTGTACCTACTTCATTACTGTCTTAGGATGCCAGACACACAAACCCCACTGCTCCTCAGAGGGTCTGACTCCTGGTGACCCTCCACTGGACTTCCACGGCTACTCATCTTCACCAAAAAAATGTACTATCTTTCTCTCTTGAAGCAGCATGTGGATTCAAACGGCTAACTGCTCAGTTAGCAGCACAGCACGTAAAGCAACATGCCACCAGAACTTTTTTTAATTTTAATGAAAGTTTACAGAGACTTTGAATTTCCATTCATTCATTGTTGCACTTTTCTCCCTGTCCACCCCCTCCCACCAATTCGCTCTTCTCTTTGAAAAGTAAAAGAAAAAATCTTTCAATGTTATACAATCTCTCCCAAGTCTACTCCTCTATGTAGCCTTCTTTCTGGACTCCTGTCATGACAATACCTAATCACATATCCCTTTTAAACAGTTCTTGCCCTCATCTATTTCAATGCAGTATACATTATTTATCCCCTCTTTCTCAGTCTCCCTCCAACCCCAATGTCAGTCCCGTTTTACAACAATGGCACCATGCAGTATTTGTCTTTTTGTGACTGAGATACTTCACTCAGCATCATGTCCTCCAGGATCACCCATTTTGTATATATATATTTCATGAGTTCCTTGTTTTTCGGTGCAGCATAGTAGTACATTGTGTGAATTTATCTATTCGTTTGTTGATGACAGAACTCTTTTTCTTTCTTTTTTTTTTAATTTTATGTATTTTGTGTGTGTGTGTGTACCATCAAACTGGACCTGACTGGTACAGGAGGAGCTTGCCCCTCCTTCTCTAGCAGAACATCTGGTGGATTTGAACCGCCTACCTCTGGGATTGCAGTGCAGCTTCTTGCCACCAGGCTATCAGAGCTCCCTAGAACTTTTTTTCTTAATGTCATCCTACTTTAATTCTCTGAGTAGTCCTCATGACTATCTGAGATTTTTTTTGTCAAGTCTTATGTCTTCCCTTTCCTCCCCTACTCAATTCCATATGTACAGTACTGTTGTAAATCAAAGACAAAGACGAGACAGAGACACCAGGACTGAGAGAAAAAAACCAGCGTGAAGCAGGGGGCGAACTCTAAGACTGAAGCAGCTTCAAGCCATGCCTCTCTGTAACCTTTATTGAGAATCGCCAGGAAGTAAATCATCAAGAGAATTCTTCTGTAAACGAAGCTGAGTTTTCCCCTATTGTCAACCTTATGCTTAGCTCAGGAAGGAAGCAGTTCACAAGTATAGACTATTAACACTCCCTCTGCAGGGGGACCTAGCTGCCTCTTGTCCACAGGAAGCAGCTCATTTCTTTTTTTCTTTCTTTTTTTGCAGCTCATTTCTTGTGATCTGTCACAATAGGAATTTCAGCTTATATTTCGTGTTTCCTTCAATTCCTGATTAAGCATTTGGTTTAACATATAACTTAATATTTGGCTTCCCACACAGTACAAGTGGAATGAACACAACAGAGACTATTCTATTCATCACCGCATTCCTGGCACCTACAAACAGGTACTCAATAAAAACTGGCTGTGCTGATGCAGCGGGTCAAGCTGTCCCTGGGACCTTCGAGACGCTCCCTGGTTGGGAGTGAGAGTTAAGAGCTTCTCACCTCTGAATGGTTTCCTCTTGTTCCTTAACCATGTGTGCCAACTGCTGAAAGATGGAACCCAGCTCGACAATTGTAGACTCTATGTTCTGCATGGTATCTGCTCGACTCTGGATGTAGGAATCCTTCAGGAGAGAGAAAGAGCACAGGAGGACTGTGAGCTTCTCCAGGACAGGGCCTGGGTCTGCAGGACCCCTCCAGCTGGACACTCTCCCACAGCACTCTCAATGGCCTGTGGTCTACAGATGAAGAAACATGGGCACCATCCTCCTTTTGGGAAGATGTCCAGGACCTCGGTACCTGTTCGTCAATGAGCTGTAGCTGCTGGCTGGTCCGAGAGTCCAGCATGTCAATGGCCACATCCCCAGAGGCCCTGGGCTCTGCCCCCAAAACCACAGGACCACCTCCTGGGAAGAAAAGACGACAGGGACATCTTAGTGGTTCAAAGCCACATGTTCTGGATGTAAATGCAACTCTGCCACTTCTCAGTCTTATGACCCTAGACAAATTTATCTCATCACTGTCAGCCTCAGTTCCCTCACCTATAAAATGGAGATAAACAGTTGCTTTCTCAAAGGGTGGTTTTAAAAGTCAAGGACAGAACAGGACTAAAGCAAGCACACAAAACCCATCAGATACTATTGTTCTTCTGCAGCATTAGTGAGTTCACTCCCAAAAGCAACAATGTGAGAAACACAGTTGAGGACGGCAAGTCTGAGCAATCCCACTTGACTCTTAGGGATAAAGTCTATCAAAGCCTGTACTGCAGGGACCAGGCAGCCTCCTTGGCCCTTCCTTCTCCTCCCTTTAGAGCCCTCAACAACCAAAATGAACTAGGTTTCGTCTCCCTGGGACTTCCCCAACTGTGTGTGACTTACCCAAATGGTTGCGGGTGAGGGGCAGGGCTGACACAGGGGTTCTCGAGAACTGTTCCCTCCGGCTCTTCTGTTGCTTCAGATTCTAGGATTGGAGGGAAATGCAAAAGTCTGAAGGTCTCTAGAAAGAGGCCATTTAAAGAGAGCCTTCCTGTCGGCCTCATGATCCTGCTGCCCTCTTTCTTCCAAAAGCCCTCCCTCCCATTCGCCTTTTGGGCCCTTCCGCCCAACCTGATTCCCACCCTTGTTGTTATACAAATTTTGCTCACCTCTGTTCTCACTTCTAGAACTGATTTGAAGTCATTGGACATGGAGGCCAGTTTGGACTAGGAAGAAAGAAGAAAAGGTCAGCTAGAGAAACAAAGACTCTCCCCCTCTCTCTGCTTCCTACGCCCCTTCTCCCAGTTCTCACCTGCAAGGAGACCACAATGGTGTTGGAATGCGTCTGCAGATGCCGGCCACTCTGGCTGCCCTTGGCCTTCACAAAATCCTGAAGCTGAGCTATTTGTTTGTTGAGGCTATTAATGTCCTGGTGAAAGAGCCCAAACAAAACAAAGAAAAATAAAACAACTCAGTATCAACCAGGGTCCTCAGAGCCCTCTACCACGCTGACATCTCTGGCGAGGCCGGCACATGGAAGTTTTTAGCAGGAGTCAGGGAATCTCTGTCCTATCAGAATGAACAGCAGAGATTTCCTGACTAGAAGGCTCTCAGGTTCGCTAAGAGCGAGGGAAGAGCCAGAAAAAAAGGCAAACACGGCCACAGTCATTTGTAAGTGATTTGTTTCTATCTCCACAATCCATTGCCCTACGCACCCTGGGGAGACCCTGTACACCACCCACCACCCTAGTGAGGCCCTGCTCACCGTCCACCGCCCTACGTACCCTGTGGAGGGGCCTGCTCACTGTCCACTGCCCTATGCACCCTGGGGGGGGGCCGGCTCACCACCCACCATCCTACGAACCCTGAGAAGGGACCTGTTCACCGTCCACAGCCTTACACACCCTGGCAAGGCCTTGCTCACAGCCATACAATTCCTTACTTAGAGCATGTGCGTCAAGAAAGTACCCAGACCCCATTCAGGAGAAGGGAAAATCATCTGCTATTTTCCAAGGTTTCCTAAAGACACTAAGTACTTTTTATATGCAGAATTTCTTTTAGCTCAGAAGGCAGGAACAGAGTAAAATAAGATTAATGAAAAGAGATAGGAAAGTGGAGAAAATGTGGTTACCATGTGGGTATTTTAGTGCCATAAAACAAAATGCGTTATGAATGGCTGAAGAGAAAGCCAATTTACTTTTGTAAACTTTCACTCAAATCAGTTAAAGGGGGAGGAGAAAATTCCTTTTACTGCCAAAGGGTAAACCTGTGACCTGCTTATTTTCACCACAGTGCATTAACATCATGGCTAGGCTTTCTATGCCACAACAGCGTATCTCCCACCATCAATCAGGTCTCAAATGTCACTTCTTCAGCCAAGTCATCCTAAGGACCCATCTCAAGTAGCTCCTGCTGAGTAACTGACCTTGTTTTCACCACGGACAGAATTTATGATCAGCTGGTACTGTCTTTTCTGTTTTCTTGCACATAGCTTCTCTCACCAAATCAGAAAGTTCTTCCTGGGCAAGGAACACATCTACCTTGTTCACTGATGAATTCCAGCCCCAGGTAGCCAAAAAGCACTCACTAATATGAAGGACTGAAAAATAAATAAATGCTCACAATAATCTTATCATGTACTGCTATTGTCCTCTTTTTACTAATAAGGGAACTGCAGATGAAATCACTGACCCAAGGTCATGCCCTAAGTGGGAGATAAAGGATTGAAATTCAGGTCTGTCTGCAGCCAGTAAACTGGTTGTGTATGCAGCAATGCTTCTCAAGAGCATGCTGGGCAGCGCCTATGCTGCGGCCGGCCTCTACCACAATCGTCTCTATATCAAGCTAGCTGTCCCGACTCCCCTCCACGTCCCAGGCCTTTCTGCCTCAACCAGGTTTCAGGTCCTATTTTCCTCCTAAAGACTCTCCATAGCCCATGGCATTCATAGAGTTCCACATTTCTCAGCAAGACCTCCAGTGACCTTCACAACCAGCCTTCAGCCTAATTTCCCGGCCTCATCACCTGTCACTCATTCAACACTGAGAGCCTTCTCTGCGGGGTTGTCAGGTGCTGTCAAGTTGGTGACGGCGCCTAGTGACCCTACGGAAAACGAACACAACACTGCCTAGTCCTGTACCGTCCCACAGTCGTTGCAATTTTCAATCCACTGTCTCACCCACTGCGTCAACCCACCTCACTGAAGTTCTTCCTCTTTTCCATTGGCCTTACCAAGTGTGACGTCTTTCTCCAGGGACTGGTCCCTCCTGATCACATGCTCAGTGTGGACTTCATCAAGTCTCACTGTTCTTCCTTTTAAGGAGCTTCCTGGCTGTACACCTTCCAGGACAGGTTTGTTCATTCTCCTGGTAGTTACGGTATACCCAACATTCTTTGACAACATCCTAGTTAAAAGGCATTAAGTCTTCTTAGGTTTTCTTTTTTTAAAGGTCCAGCTGTCACATGCATATGAAGCAAATGAAAATCCTATGGCCTGAGCCAAGTGTATCTTAGTCCTTAAAGAGCTATCTTAACTTTTTACACTTTAAAGAGGTGTTCTGCAGTTTCACTCAATGTAATATGTTGTTTGATGTCTTGAGTGCTGTATTCATGGGAAATAATTACAGACCTAAAATAAATTAAATCTTTGGCAACTCTTAATTTTTTTCTCCATTTATCCTGAAGTTGCCTCTTGGTCCTGTTTTAATTTTTTATGCTGAGCTGTAATCCATACTGAGGGCTGGAGTTTTTGTTCTTCATCAAGAAATGCTTTTAAGTCTCTTTGCTTTCAGTAAGCAAGCTTGTGCCATCTTTTATCATGGGCTGTATGTATACCAGTCTTCTTCTAATACTCTTTCTGCATTCTTCAAATAGGCCAGTGTCTCAGATTGTTCCACATACAGATTACAAGCCCTGACACCTACTTTTCCTGATAGTAAACCATGCAGGATCTTCTTGTTTTATTCAAAAGACTGCCTTTTGGTCTATGTATAGGTTTTATATGAGCATCTTCAAGTGTTCTGGAATTTCCATTATGTATGTTAAACACATTATACAGAAACTTACACTGTATCTGTGAAAAAACATTAAGAAAAGAAAAAATCCCCATCCATCTGGCACTTATACTTTAGTTTTCTTTTTGGGGAGTAGTGGAATGGGCAGAGGTGGGAGAGGTTGGAGGAAACAGAGGCAAACAATAAACAACTGTAATAGCTAAGACAATTCTAGAAATGTTAGAACAGAAAAAGAAAAGAGCAGGACAAGGGGGTCAGAATCTGGGCCCTGGAGTTTTAAACAGCAAGCGTGGTTAAATAAGTACAAGCCTTTCTGAACAGATGATGTCTGAAAAGCAGTCTTATTCTTGAACATTCCTTTGTAAAGCCATGTCTCCACATACACCATTTTCTGTCTGTAAAGTCCTTCTACTACTGCTACCCAAGAAGAGAAACTGCTTCCGATTCTGTCTCCTCTATAAAATCCTTCCCAGCATCACTGGATCTCAATCCTTTTGTAAGATCCATACCACTTGCCTTTAACTCCTTGGAACTAGGAAGTTACGGAGCTGGATACCTCTTCTAAATAATAAACCTGAAAAGAGCCATCTTGCCTCACGTTTGTGTCACCAGTGCCCAGCAGTTCTTTGTACACAGCAGGCAATCCATTCACATCTACAGGATCATAGATGAGGAGGATACACAGGGCTGGCTCTAGAAATCTGCTCTGGGCTTCCATGTCAATGGAAAATGACTGACTGGTGGCGAGTAGTTCACCTGTTTGATGATATATGTTAACTCTTCAATTTCCACTCCTTTATCATCAAAGAGAGACTTGCGCTTTGCCACTGCAGAGACAAATGAGAAGTCACCACAGGTGAGGTCAGAGATACGACTCAAGGAGTAAGTTCCTCAGCCCTCTCCAGTTCACTGCCCCACCTCTGAAAAACTCCCATGACACTCACAGATCGTCAGCTTCTCCAGCTTGGCAAACGTGTTGCTGAGATCTTTTCCAATGCGCCTGCAAATGAGCGTTAGTGAGAACGCTAACCAATCCCAGCCTAGAAAGTCAAGGGCATCCAAAGCAAACCCACTTCTCAGACAGGACAGCAACCCACCACAATGCCTCATTCGACTCACTTGGCCATGAGAGTGAATTCACTGCGCTGCTGGACAGCACGCAGAGCTGGTTTATTTGTCTGGATTCCATTCTGAAAAGAATGTCAGGAAGTGACAATATTAGTTCTCCCCGCTCCATTCCCAGACTTGATTGCTGCTCAGGGACGTGATAAGTGACTTCTTTCTACTGATGAGGTCCTGATAATCAAGGCTTAGGAGTAGTGGCAGTTTGGAGCCCAGATTGAAGACAAGCAGATTCAGGTTCAAAGTTGGCTCTAGTTACAAACTGAAGACTTTCTGGTGGTAGAGTCTGTAAGGAATTAATGCTGCTAACCCAATGGTACCTTTCCGGCACTTTGAATCCACCAGTGGTTCCGTGGGAGAAAGACAGGCAATCTCCTCCTATGTAAGTTAGAGCCTCCAAAAATCCACTGGATGGATGGTCAGCTATGAGTCAATTCCAACTCAACAGCAATGAGCGGGTTTGTTGGTTTGGGGTTTATTTAGTTATAAATTGAGCAACTTTGGGCAAGTCACTTACACCTCCACTCTAAATGAAGACAATCCATCTACCTCTGATTGTTGCTTGAAATGAATGGCACTGGAAGTAGAATGCACTTTGGATAAAGGCAGCAGGTTATGTACCATCAAGTCAGAACCCTGTCGTAGTATTTGGAGGCCATAAATTGTACAGGAAGTAAGTCCGGTGGCCTAGTGGTGAGGAGCTGCACCTCTAACATGAAGGCATTCAGATGAAACCAATCAGCTGCTCTGCAGGACAAAGGTGGGCAACCACCTCTTCTGTTGATTTACTGCCTCTGAAAACCCGCTATTAGTCAGTTCTGACTCAATGGTACACAACAAATCACATAGGAGGAAATGATCCATCTTTCTCCCCACAGAGGAGTTGGTGGATTAGAACCTTAGGGTTGGCAGTGAAACTCCGTAACACTAAGCCTCCAGCGCTCCCTGTCGTATATAGGTTTAGGGGTCTTGTACATAGGGTCGCTATAAGTCGCAAGCGACTCGACAGCACATAACACAACAACAAAATGGTAACCAGAGTTACCACTCTATTCCCAGAATCAAAGAAAACTGTAAGGAATTTGGAGATTTTACAGAAAAGGAGTTATCAACAAAAGCTGAACATGGAAATATTTTAAAACACAAGTTATCCAGATCCTTCCTAATCAGATTTATAAATCTGGACTGTGACAAAGGAAATCTACTTGTTTCTTAAAAAACACTCCAGAGTGATTTTGAGAAAAATCACTGATCTATAAAACTTCTCTTATTTTCAAGATAAAAATCCCAAGGTCCGGGAAGCTCTGGTGGCCTAGTGGCAAGAAGCTGCACTGCAATCCCAGAGGTACGTGGTTCGAATCCACCAGTTGTTCTGCTGGAGAAGGAGGGGCAATCTCCCCCTGTACCAGTCAGATCCGATTTGACAGTACACACACACACACACACACACACACACACACACAAATAATAACAAATAAATTTTAAAAAAATAATCCCAAGGTCTAAACACTTAAGTCCCTCATGTCACAGAGTAAATTTGTGTGTTAAAACTAGGAAGGAATTAGAATTCAAGATGTGTGCCTCCAACTAATAGCTCCTTCTCTGTTTCTTATCCAAATCAAACCCAGTGCAGCCACCTCTGGCCCTAAGGTAGGACTCCCAGCAATCTTGTCTTCAGGAGGTTCTCCACCAAAGTCAAGGTCCTTGCCTCTCCTTACCTAACCCACTTTTACCCCACAAAGAATTCGAGAGTAGCATCCTCTGCAGGGAGTTGAGTTAATCCAAAGGCCACGTCTCCCAGGCGGTTCGAATCCACCAGGGGCTCCTTGGGAGAACTGATGGACCATCTTATCTTCTCCCCTGCAATTTACAGCTTCGGAGCCCCAAGGGAGCGTCAGCCGTGAGCCTGATCTTCCTGGAAGGCAATGAGGGGCGATCAGGAGTCCTTCACCTGTGTCCCCAGAACCACATCAGTTCCCGGAGCCCACCTCTCCCCCTCGCCTCTCCCACTCCAGGTCCTTACCTGACGGCTCTGCAGGGACTTGCAGGCAGACAGGAACTCCTGGGTCCGGTCCCGGCAGGACATGGTGTCGGGAGGGGGAGGGACCAGGGCCACTTGGGGGGGCAGAGGGGCGAAGTCGCTGCTGCTGCTGCTACTGCCAGCAGTTGCAGGGGACAGGACCTGTGTCTTTGAGAGACCCAGGTAGACACCCTGATCCGTGTTCTTAGACCCGTAGCGTTTCCGCGGGATCATTGAGACGCATAACCTCGGACTGTTGTGGAGGGGAGAGTGTCATTCCCCGGGCAGCCTCCTTCCCATCAAGTTCCTCCCGACCCCAGATCCTCGGGTGCTTCCTGCCTCGGGCAAAGACTGCCGCCTGAGACCACCAGCAGCAGAACGGGCCCCGCTTTCTGCCCGGCTCAAGTCGTCCCCTCCTTAGACTCTTCAAACTTGGCTCCGGTGGTCGGAGCGCGGGCCCAGGGCCCTGGGGAGGGTCAGGGCCAGAGCCAGGTCTGGGGGCCCCGAGGCTCCGCAGGGAGAACCGGTGACGGGATTCCTGGGGGCGGGGGGTGAACACACTCCGGTGGGCGGAGGGGGACCCTTAAGGTGTTTATTTAAAACAGGAAGTCCCACCCCTGCCAAAGTTCCGCCTCCTGGAGGACTACAACCACTGATTGGCTAATACCGACGTCTTTCTCAAGAGCCGCCTTCTTGATTGGACAGTGAGACATTCGCTCACCTCCCAGCCAGCAAGACTTGCCTGCTCCTTCCCCGCTCCCCTCCCCCGGCCCATCCCCACCCCCGGAGAGCCGCGGTCCCGGAGCTGACACGGCAGCCGGGTCCCCTCTGCCAGAGAATCCTACCTCCTCACTGCCGCCTGCCGCCGCTGCCAATGCCAATGTCTCCCGGTCCGTCACTGCCTCCTTCCCGAGCCCAGAAGCCGCCGAAATCCGGCCAAAGATTAGAAGCCGCCACGTCACCCACACGTTAGCCCGACCCCGGTGACGACAGCGCGGCGCCACGCCTGTCCGAGTCCGGCTCCCCGGCAGACGCACCCCCGGCCTCAGCGTCAAAGTGACTGTGCCTTCCCATTGGTTGGGCTGAAAGCGTGGCCCCGCCCCTAAAGAGTCCCCTCGGGAGCCCGGGACCTGGACCTGGGATGGAGCCTTAAAGAGCCCGCGACACCTGCGCTGTCTGGGCAACGAGGAACGAGCGCGCGCACGGCCGTGTTAGAAACTTTATTCTCTGGAGGCGGGGACCAAGTGACCTGGGGACTGGAGTCAGCCGTTCTCTGGCTCCTCCAGGATCTCCGACGGGATGTTTTCCAAGTTCCCCATCCTTTGAATCTGGACTGACTGTCTGGTCGACCGGGAGGAGCCCCGCCGGCTGAACAGGGACAGCCGCCGCCACAGCACAGTGATCAGCAGGCTGTCGGTGGACTTGCGCCTCGCTTGGTTCGGCATTTCCGTGGCATCCGTCACTTCGGTGCCTACGACGGACGGGGTCGATGTCCACCGCACCGCTGAGCGCCACGCCACCCTCCCCTGTCCAGTGACCCCGGGAGGCAGCTCCCTCCCCAGTCCTGCCCTTTCCCCCCACTTGCTGAGTCCCACCTTCCGTAGATTCCACTTCCTTGGCCGCCTCATTCTTAAGGTCCTTGTCTGGACAGCAGCCCATGGACCCCCCCGCGAGGACCGCACTGTGCCAGCCCTGCCAGCGGGCCCCTCACTCGGCTTTTATGACGTCAGAAGTGCCCCCACCCCAGCTCGGGGAGCCCCCACCCCCAAGCCGCCTCTTTTCCTTTCTCACATCACAGAAAGCTCAAGGTCATGGTGGGTGCTGTACATTTATTTACAGAGTGGGTGGGGTGTTCAGGGCCTAGTGGACCCAGGCCTCTTCTTCTTTGTATGCCTGGCTTGGGGCGCCGTCTGGCTCTGCGCGGAATCGGGGAGCTTGCGCTTGGCAGCTGCCTCCAAAGCAGCCCACAGCTGATCCGTCTCTGTGTCTTCTGGGCACTTCTTGGGCTCTGGAGGTTCCTGAGGCCCATCCTGGTGAGGAGAGCCCACGAATCAGGGGCAGAGGGGACAGAGACCCACAGGAGGACACCCTCCCCGGGAACGAAGCCCCAGCTGCCCCGTGTTCTCCCGCTGAGAAGCCCCTCTGGTCCAGTTACATGTCACTCTTGCCAACAATACTATGGAGAAGCCCAGTGCTCTGGCTGGCAAATGGGCAGCTCCAGGTCTGTGTTCCTCCTGGAGAAATTGTCTCAAATGTGCCCTAGGCCTCCCCTCCCTGTTCCCAGATCCAGTCACTCACCTCCCAGTTGTCCCTGCCTGAGAGGAGGAGGCAGTTCAGCCGAGACTTGAGATAAACCTGTAACAGATGAGGGGCCGTTAGGCGCCCTGACCTGCCGAAGCAGGTGGCGACAGGAGCAGAGGGCAGTGAGCTCCAACTGTGAACTGGGCCATGGGTCAAGACTCAGCCAGTCTAGTGCTCACCTTGTGCTCCAGACCCCGGGGGTTTCGGATCCGGTGCACCCTCAGGATTCTGTCCAGTCCACAGGAGGCTAGGAGGGGCTTCGAAGGGTGGCACTGCAAGGCCCGGACGCTGCCTGCCAGCCCCTTCAGACAGCCCACGAGGCGCCCTAGGGACAAGGGTATAAGTGCAGTTGCCCAGCCAACATTACTGTAGGCTGCAGAGACCACTGTGCATGTCAGCGCTTAGCCCTCCCTCTAACTGAGACAGGAGTCATCAGTCAGTCATCTCTCCATTTCACAGGTGATGAAACCTGGGCACAGAGAGTTGAAATAATCTGTCTAAGGTCACACAGCTTCAAGCCTGGGCCATTTGGCACCTGAACAGAGGCCACAAACGCCCACCACACTGCCTCTGAGGGAGGTCTGCCCTTCAGCCCAGCCCTCCTCACCCTTGTCCCAAGTCTGCTCACCTTGCCGAAGGTCAATTTCTGCCAGCTGCCCATGAGTGTTCCCCACGATCACTGAACTGGAGAGGTCAGAGGTGGGCATGGTGAGCAGGAATGTCCTGGAGCCCTCAGCAAGCCCCCGCCACCCAGCCTACCCGCCTAGCACTCACTTGGCCCCAGGAGTGAGGGTCATGGCTGTTAGGGGATACTCTCCATACGTGGCCTCTAGGACTGGACGGCGCTGGGGGGAGGCTGGATCGTAGACACGGACCTGGAAGGATACTGAGGCATCACAAGAGCACCCACAGCCCTCACAGACTTCTCAGCCTCGTGCGCTGCCTGTTCATAACGTGCCCAACAGCAGGTGTAGTCAAATGGGTTCCTTAATGTGGTCCTTTGCCTGATTCTTTGGGGAGGAGGACAGCTTGAGTGAAGCCTCCCACCCCCGCAGCCACTAGGAGCTACTTTCATTGTTCTGGTCTATACTGATAGATACTTCCTAGGTAGACTGTACACAACTTGATGGTTTGACACTTTTTGTGACTGGTCAAAGCTTTGCCACTGGTCACTACAGCAGCATCTCGACAAAGTAACTACCGTCCACCAGTGCTCTGGTGGCCTGGTAGTAAGGAGTTGCACTGCCAACCCAAAGTCATGAGGTTCAACTCCAGCAGCTGCTCCAACAGAAAGATGAGCAATCTCCTCCTGTGCCATTGGGCTGGTTCTGACTCTGCATCGTAACAACAACAACATGGTCCAGTGAGGGGATTAGTCAATTTGTGGCCCTGCTAGGAATGCTGTCATTTAAAACTGACAAGAGTTTGCCTATATAAGTAGACATCACCAGAGGTTTTAGAAAAGTTAAAAGGACAGAGAGGCAAAAAGAGAGAAGCATGGAGAGAAAAGGCATGAAGAATCTACTCAGGAAGCTGTAGCAGAGGTGAAAGGTTCTAACCCTGACGACAAAAGGCCTGAAGGGGCTCTGTGGTAGAAGTGGTTGAGACAGCAGAAACCTGCTGGAATGAGCTCAGAGGCTGAACAAAGCTGTTATACTAGCTCTGAGGCAGGTCAGCAATGGAGAGGCCCAGGGCAGAGGCCTGGCCGAGGGATGTCACACAGCAGAGCAAGGGGCCTGCTTGTTTGCAAAGCTGAGAAGGGCTGAGAGCTGCCTGCACTCAAGGAGGGAGTGATGTGCTGTCCGCCTGAAGCTGGTTGATTCGGATCCCAGATTATACTGTTATTTCCCTAATAAACCACTTAACCACTTAGTACAGTCTGTGAACTCTGGGTGGTTGTTCTAGTGAATTGCTGAACCCAGAAGAGAAATACAGTATCATGGTGAAGAAATGGTAAAGAACTTGGAAGGTGGAAATGTTTGGGAAGTGGAGATATTCCTAGGTAGGTATTCTAAGAATCAGGAGGGTTACAGGTGCTACCAGAACATCTTAGCAGGATGAGTAAACTGAGTCTACTTAGCATAATGGACAGGGCCGAGGCAAGTGGCCCCAGGCTGGGAAAGAGGACAGCATTCCCACAGGTGTGTGCGTTCCGTCCCCTCATCTGTCCACGCAGGAGGAGGAAGACAGAGAAAGCATGTCAATTCAACTGTCAGGAGGTGCTGAATTCCCAGTCTTGGGTTCAGACTGAAGGAATGAAGAGAGAGGAAGCCCTCACATGCTTTGGGCAAAGATAGCATTTTAGACTAAACAACCATTAGACTTCAGAGATGCAGAAGTGAAGGAAATAGGGCAAATACACTCAGTCCTGCCTTCTGGATCTTAGGACTTCAAAAGAGAGAACTGTCATGATCCCTAGTCCAGGGTCAGGCCTGGGCTCCGAAGAAAAATGACAGGCAGCATCAGGACCAGAGGAGTTCCTGACACCCAGCCCAATGTCCTTCCCGACACCTGTATCCTATGCGTCCCACTATGTATTAAGAGGATACTTTCTTCCAGGAAGGAGGGAAAGGAAAAGCCATAGTTTAGGAAACTCCATCCCAGAAGATGGTCAGGAAGTCACTGGCTAGTGATGGGGCTGAGAAGAATGGCGAAGAGCTCCCTCATAGGACAGTTTAGGGATAGGAAAATGCTGGTGAGAGGGACAGCTATGCTAAGCATGGGGGCTGCTTAAGCCCACAAGGAAGCTGGTGTTGGGTGTCTCACCTGGTGGTAGCCAGTGCAGGTGACAATCTTCTGTGACTCAGGGAGGAAATGAATGTCCTGCTCCCAGATGGGAACCCGCAGGTCAAGCCAGTCATTCCGTACCTGGTGAGATGGGCAGATGCAGGACCTCCATCAATCCCTAAAGCCTATCAGACTGGTCTCCCTGGAACTTGGGCCTCACCTCCCCACTCGTCACTCACGTTCTTGGCTCTGAACACAGGCTCCTCGGAGCCCTGTAGGTCCCAAACCTTCAAGGCATTCTCTTTCCCTCCAGTGGCAACCACATGGGGATGTGCTGGGTCTTGACGCATCTTACACACACTAGGGCCCACCTTCAGCTCCAGAAGCTGCCAAGAATTTGATATGAGTGTCAGTCTCAGAGACTCCAACCCTACAGCCCTCATCACGCCCAGCCTCAACCTTCCCCAACCATCAGGGTAGGGGAGCCTCACTGGTTCGGAAGACTCCTCCTTGTCATTGTCACCCCAGACTCGAAGAATCCCAGACTCCACACATGTGATGAGGTTGCTGCAGATTAAAGGGAAGAGGTTATGCAAAAAGAAAAAATTTTCAAGCCTAAGCCAGAGACAACCTACCCTGAACTCCGATTAAAAGGGAGACTTCCTGCCTAGTTCCCAAGGAAGCCTCTATGTAATGAGTCTGGACAGAGCTTGACAACTTCTAGCTTCCATGGTTCACTCATTTCCTCAACAACTAAAGGTTGACCAATTTTGTAAGCGAGGAAATTAAAGCTCTGAAAAATGGAAATACTTGCCCCTCAGTCATAAATGTTAACATCAGAGGGAGGAACTAAGCCTGTGATAACCCAGAGGAGAGTGCTTTCGCCAGCCCATAGCTATCTCTGGCGACATCTGGCTTTGCTCATCTTTCTGAATCGTAAGTCAGTTACCAGGGTTT